AAGGGTCCTTTCAGAACTATGCCGTCTGCTCTCTCTCCCTCTCTCCCCTCCCTTCCGCTAGTACACACACGTCCTTAGGTATGTATTGTTATCCACACAGACACATACAAACAGAACAGATGCACACATATCTACATGTAGATTTCATACTTAAAGGCCAGCACATTATGGATGACAACAGACCGTTTCCAGACTGATATGGACAGCACAGACGTAACGAGGGCGATGGATAGAATTATTGTTGCAGACTATCCACTCCACGGAAGAGCGTACACGTCGAATCCCGGGCCTCAGTAATCCCGCCGTGGACTCTATTACTGCCCGTCATTGAGCCGCTGTATCTTTGTATTATGTCTGTTACTAAGTTACTTGCTTTCTGAGCTCCACAAGATTGCTTCTGCAATGACGACTGAGACTGTGATAATGCTGGCCTAACTGAGGAATTAATAGTGATAGACTGTCATGATTGCTGCAGTGAGGTAAGGAAAAGTACAGGGACGTTGTATGTAATGCTACTGGCGCAAAGAGCACCGGGTACTAGTTTTGTACTTTGGTAAACCAGTGGGCTTTCATTGGATTGTACAACATCCCGTTGCCGCTATTACTTTCCGTGACACTTCCCAGTACTCATTTTAGGACACTTCCCGGCACTCATTATAGGCTAGATCGACTTGGGAACGCGTCATTTACGAATCCGAACTCAGTACTCTAGGGCCGACAGACAAGAGTCTAGCCGGTGCGCTAACGCTACACTGCAAAGTTATTCAGTGGGAAATCTGCGGAGAATAGAAAACATACAGTTTTATTGACATAATCGCCAGCGTGGAGCTCTTGTAGATAACGGAAGAAATCAGGGAGTCAGATTAAGACGTTTTACTAAGCGCGCGCGCGTACACTCACGCACTTCGAGAAACCCTGATTTATCTAAAATGTGCTATCACGTAAGCGTCACGTTGTGACAGTTAAAATAATGGTTGCTGTATTGACATCTTAAAAGATCTGAACATCAAGGAAGATTGGCTGATAAAAGGCGTCCTTTCTCGAAAGCTGAAATACTTTGGTCATATCAAGCGCCACGACGGATTGGACACAATTATAATAGAAGGCATGGTACCAGGAAGGAGGGGCAGGGGCCGACCGACACGAAGATGGGCACATGATATAAGTGACTTCTTCAGTGTGAAAGTGCATGAGGCGAGAGAACTGAATTTCTTTCAGGCAGACTGTAATGAGAGCGACGTTCTGCAAAGGACCTGCTACATGATGATGATGCAGCTGTTTGAAAGCAACGCACGGCAGGGAGAGAGCCGTCAAACAATTAACATATATTTATCAGCGCGTTCAGAAACGACCCCGTGTCTAAAGCGCTGCTTCGGGAAGTCGGGAAAGCTAATTGTATCAGTGTAATGATAATGATGTTGTTGTTGATGATGGGTAGTCGCCGTGGCCGAGCGGCTAGACGCTCGCCGCGGATCGGAAGGTCGTGGGTTCGCTTCCTGGCGGAGACGGACTTTTCTTCAAAAATGACCTTGGCTCCCAGGTCGACCCAGCCTTGAGTGGGTACCGGGTGCAATCCCGGGAAGTAGAGGCGGCCGGCGTGATGCTGACCACATCACCCATCTTGTGCCGTTGGTCTATAAAAATATAGGTCTAGCCCTATATGCCCTATACGCCCAAAGGCGTGGAAAGGGTCCTTTACTTTTTTTACTTTTTGTTGATGATGATGATGTTGATGATGATAATGCAATGAGAACAGCTGCAGTCGACTCTGGGGTCACTATGATGGTAAACAGTGTTGGGTTTCCTTGATACCAGCATACCAGCTGTTTATATGCTAGTGCTGTGCTGGACACCGGATGTTGCCAAACAGCCCAGATAACCAGTCAGTCTTGCTTTGCTGTCACGTGTTTGATGAATGATCCCACCATCTCGCTCTCGAGGGCACCGCTGGGGTTGTTGTCGGTATCTCAGGCTGTCCTGGCCTCTGACGGTTTCCGAGTTATCTTGTTCACTGGCGCGACCCGTGGGTTTTTCTTCTTTGTTGTGGGGATACAGTATCTCTTTTCTTTCGTTCTGAACTCAGCTGTACCCACTGGGGTGGGAGCGGAGGTTCTGCAAGATATTCCCCATGGAAGGGGAAACAGAGGCGGACTTTTAATGGGGTTGCAACTGGTACTATTTGAATGTCCATCCTTTATTGGTTACTGAACAAGGCCACGGGGCGTGTGTTAATAATGTCTTAAGTACATTAATGTCAGTTCTTGATTGATTTATTCATTCTTTCATCTATTCATTCGTTTCGTTATGTCTTTTCCCGTCACCCCCCCCCCCTTCCTTTTTCACTTGCTTCGCTTTCTTTCTTTCCATTTTCCCTTTATTCCTTCTGTTGCTTGTCTGTCATTCTTGCTGTCCATCAGTCCTGCTTTTTTTTTTTTGCTGTCTTTTGACCGGTCTGTGGTGTATTTTCCTGTGGGATTTGCTTTAATGTTGCAGTGATATCCTTTCTTTCTTTCTTTCTTTCTTTCTTTCTTTCTTTCTTTCTTTCTTTCTTTCTTTCTTTCTTTCTTTCTTTCTTTCTTTCTTTCTTTCTTTCTTTCTTTCTTTCTTTCTTTCTTTCTTTCTTTCTTTCTTTCTTCTCCATTCTGTCTTTCTCCTTTTTATCCATCTTTCTATCTTTCTGTTTTCATTCCTGTCTTCTTTCTTACCACCCTTGTGACCCTTTGAAAATAAAGTTCGTTCATTCTTTCCTTCATTTCCACATCTGTCCCTGTCTTTCTTTAACCGATTCTTGTTTAATTGTTTTCATTATATCTTTCTTTCTTTTTGTTTGTGACCTTATCCACTTCTTTAATTCCTTTCTTGATTCTAATATTTTTTCCTCCCTTCCTTCTGTTCTCTTCTCTCTTTACTTTCGTACCTTTTTTTCATTAACCTGTTCTTGTTTGCTTGTTTTCAGTTTCCTTCCTTCTTTCTTATTGACTTTCTGTACAACATTCTACTATGTAACAGTTTAAAACACTCGGTCCTGATGTTGTCAGAATGATTGAGGACAGACACGAACTGGAAACCCGTGGGTGGGGGGGGGGGGGGGGGGGGGTGTAAAATCATGAGAGTACCATTCATAAATGGAGAGTCAATGTGCAGGACTGAAACAGAAAATAGATGGATTGGGGAAGCCAGGACACACACTAGAAACCCTCAGACAAACGCTGATGAGAGAGGCCAAGGATGCTGTACCAGATTCCATCCATTATATTGAAAATATTGGACTGGATGAAATGTAATGAAACAGTAGAAGCGGAAGCAACTGCTGTTGTCTCATTCCACCCTGAACTGTGACAGTGCATGTGAAGTCTTGCCTGAGTGGGACGTGTATTTGCAAATGAAATCCTAATTGAAGCAGTCAGCTGTTTGGAGCAAATAAAATGATATTGGACGTTGTTACCTGTTTGGAGCAAATAAAATCTCTCGTGAAACAGTCAGCTGTTGCGAGAAAAGGAAATTGTATGTGAGACTGTCAGCTGTTGTGAGTAAATGCTGGAGGAAAACAGACGCCAGTGAAACCAGAGCGCCCCAGAGCCATGAGGATTTTCTTACTTTGGCGGGACTGCTTCTGTTGTCTGAGGAGACTCTGCCTTCGCTTGATGGCCATCACAGCTGTCTGGACAATCTGGTTGAGATTAGACTGCATGGGGGCTGGTACTCAATCAGGTGAAATCTTTACAGTCAGGATGTGCCATGTGATCCCTTCCTTCCTTCCTTCCTCCCTTCCTCCCTCCCTTCCTCCCTTCCTTCCTTCCTTCCTTCCTTCCTTCCTTCCTTCCTTCCTTCCTTCCTTCCTTCCTTCCTTCCTTCCTTCCTTCCTTCCTTCCTTCCTTCCTTCCTTCCTTCCTTCCTTCCTGCCTTCCTGCCTTCCTGCCTGCCTGCCTGCCTGCCTGCCTGCCTGCCTGCCTGCCTGCCTGCCTGCCTGCCTTCCTTCCCTCCCTACCTCCCTCCCTTCCTCCCTCCTCCCTCCCTCCCTTCCTTCTTTCCTTCCTTCCTTTTGCTGTTTCTCCCTGTTTCTTTCTTCCTTTCTTTTCTCCTACTTACCCTCTTATTAATTACTGCCTCCTCTTTCCATAAAAAAAAAATTTATTGCTGCTTCCTCCTATTCTTCCTCTCCCTCTTCCTCCTGTTGGCAACCAGTGAAACAATTACAGAATCTACCATTAAAATGAGTATCTGGTTTGGATTCTAGATGTGCTAACCAAAGACATCAGAAATGAGAATTGCTCACCTCACCAAGCTGCAACTGTGTCACAGTATCTGTGATATTTATAACATTCACTTGGAATCCCTGAAATTAAACATGTTACATGACAAATATAATAGTTTCCTCTTGTATGCGTTATCTTTATAGAGGCATAGGCCTTCAAACAACTCACACTGTACTTTCCTATCCTATGTCATCTCCTGCAGCTCACTCTATGCCTCCAGTCTTATTTCCTTCTGTCTGTAATTCTTTATGTTTATGGTCTTCATGTGCTCAAGAGATTCACAAGTAATAATCAACATTGAGAGACACACAGGAAAGAAGTAGAGACAGGGGAACACACCTCACAACACACACAATTTAGCAGTTATAATTATCATACAAGGGTTCAATCCTGTAGCCCTCACATGGTGGTAGCACTTTGCTGCTGGTGGAGGTGCAGCTTGCTACATGGCCAACTGGACACCTCTAAAAATAGTGTCCTTACCGTCTGTGTCTGTCATCCACCTAAGCAGCTATTGAATTTGGACAGAACATGATTTTAATCATTCAGTGGTTTCAAGGGTTTCCTAACAATTGACTATATTTCTTTGACACTGAGGGTTTTGATACAAGTTCATTATAGTTATTTTGTCAAGTTTTCACAGTAGTTATAATTTATGCAACAGTCATTTGTTATTTATTTGTGTTGGTATTTCTACAGGAACTCCTGACACGGTCTAGCTTAGAACACCACAAACTCCACCTAATGGCTGAGATCTCACATCTCAAGATGAGGCTAGCACAGGCAGACAAAGACAGGAGGGAGTTGGATGAAAGATGTCGGATAGTACAGGTGAGAATTTGAAGAAAGATGTCAGATAGAACAGGTGAGAGTTGCATAGAAGATGTCAGGCATCACAGGTGAAAGTTGAATGAGAGATTTTAGGCATCATGGATGAAAAATAAAAAGGACAAATCTGAAGGAGTGACCGCAAATATTATCAACAGCATGAGAAAATTAGTAATATCTGTCCAGATAAGTATGACACTTAAAATAAGAATCATCATGAGTTACGTATGCTAAAGCCAGCTATAAAGCACAAACACTTAGACGTGGTACGCACACTTAGAAAGTGGAAATCAGGCCCTAGAAAAATGGATATACATAAGATAAGTTTATGCTTTATGGAAACAAAAGTATCTAATGCCGTTCTGGGGAGACTAGAAATCAAAGTGGGTTCCGGGACCCCATTGTGGGGAAAACAAGAAAAGACCCACTGCCTCCCCAAAAGCACGTCGTAAGAGTCGACTAACTGGGGAGCTTCCTTTGAAGTCGGAGTGCATCTGCCGGAGAGGAAAGGAACCAACAGTCTGTATTCAAGAGAATGAGATCTGTAAAGCTGATGCACGTGCAACACTCAGGTTCTGGAGCAGGACTGCAGTTCAGTAGTGGACGAGCAACCAGAACTTTCCGCCAGAGTTTACAGCTGGTGAACGCGAAGAAGAAGAAGAAGAAGAAGAAGAAGAAGAAGAAGAAGAAGAAGAAGAAGAAGAAGAAGAAGAAAAAACTGGTTATTGACAGAAATTTTCACCATTTGGGTTCCAGAGCCTCATTTTGGAGGTATTAAAAAAACAAAAAGAGTAGGCCCACTTCCCCCGTAAAAGATGATTAATAGGGGTGTTGACTTCAAAGTCTAAGGGCTTCTGCCTGAGAGGTGAGGAACTAGTTAGGGGTGTTTACTTCAAAGTCTAAGGGCTTCTGTCTGAGAGGTGAGTAACTAGTTAGGGGTGTTTACTTCAAAGTCTAAGGGCTTCTGTCTGAGAGGTGAGGAACTAGTTAGGGGTGTTTACTTCAAAGTCTGAGTGCTTCTGTCTGAGAGGTGAGGAAATAGTTAGGGGTGTTTACTTCAAAGTCTGAGTGCTTCTGTCTGAGAGGTGAGGAACTAGTTAGGGGTGTTTACTTCAAAGTCTAAGGGCTTCTGTCTGAGAGGTGAGGAACTAGTTAGGGGTGTTTACTTCAAAGTCTGAGTGCTTCTGTCTGAGAGGTGAGTAACTAGTTAGGGGTGTTTACTTCAAAGTCTGAGTGCTTCTGTCTGAGAGGTGAGTAACTAGTTAGGGGTGTTTACTTCAAAGTCTGAGTGCTTCTGTCTGAGAGGTGAGTAACTAGTTAGGGGTGTTTACTTCAAAGTCTGAGTGCTTCTGTCTGAGAGGTGAGTAATTAGTTAGGGGTGTTTACTTCAAAGTCTAAGTGCTTCTGTCTGAGAGGTGAGGAACTAGTTAGGGGTGTTTACTTCAAAGTCTGAGTGCTTCTGTCTGAGAGGTGAGTAACTAGTTAGGGGTGTTTACTTCAAAGTCTAAGGGCTTCTGCCTGAGAGGTGAGGAACTAGTTAGGGGTGTTTACTTCAAAGTCTAAGGGCTTCTGTCTGAGAGGTGAGGAACTAGTTAGGGGTGTTTACTTCAAAGTCTAAGGGCTTCTGTCTGAGAGGTGAGGAACTAGTTAGGGGTGTTTACTTCAAAGTCTAAGGGCTTCTGTCTGAGAGGTGAGGAACTAGTTAGGGGTGTTTACTTCAAAGTCTGAGTGCTTCTGTCTGAGAGGTGAGTAACTAGTTAGGGGTGTTTACTTCAAAGTCTGAGTGCTTCTGTCTGAGAGGTGAGTAACTAGTTAGGGGTGTTTACTTCAAAGTCTGAGTGCTTCTGTCTGAGAGGTGAGTAACTAGTTAGGGGTGTTTACTTCAAAGTCTGAGTGCTTCTGTCTGAGAGGTGAGTAACTAGTTAGGGGTGTTTACTTCAAAGTCTGAGTGCTTCTGTCTGAGAGGTGAGTAACTAGTTAGGGGTGTTTTACTTCAAAGTCTGAGTGCTTCTGTCTGAGAGGTGAGTAACTAGTTAGGGGTGTTTACTTCAAAGTCTGAGTGCTTCTGTCTGAGAGGTGAGGAACTAGTTAGGGGTGTTTACTTCAAAGTCTGAGTGCTTCTGTCTGAGAGGTGAGTAACTAGTTAGGGGTGTTTACTTCAAAGTCTGAGTGCTTCTGTCTGAGAGGTGAGTAACTAGTTAGGGGTGTTTACTTCAAAGTCTGAGTGCTTCTGTCTGAGAGGTGAGTAACTAGTTAGGGGTGTTTACTTCAAAGTCTGAGTGCTTCTGTCTGAGAGGTGAGTAATTAGTTAGGGGTGTTTACTTCAAAGTCTAAGTGCTTCTGTCTGAGAGGTGAGGAACTAGTTAGGGGTGTTTACTTCAAAGTCTGAGTGCTTCTGTCTGAGAGGTGAGTAACTAGTTAGGGGTGTTTACTTCAAAGTCTAAGTGCTTCTGTCTGAGAGGTGAGGAACTAGTTAGGGGTGTTTACTTCAAAGTCTGAGTGCTTCTGTCTGAGAGGTGAGTAACTAGTTAGGGGTGTTTACTTCAAAGTCTGAGTGCTTCTGTCTGAGAGGTGAGTAACTAGTTAGGGGTGTTTACTTCAAAGTCTGAGTGCTTCTGTCTGAGAGGTGAGGCCCTAGTTAGGGGTGTTTACTTCAAAGTCTGAGTGCTTCTGTCTGAGAGGTGAGGAACTATTTAGGGGTGTTTACTTCAAAGTCTGAGTGCTTCTGTCTGAGAGGTGAGGAACTAGTTAGGGGTGTTTACTTCAAAGTCTGAGTGCTTCTGTCTGAGAGGTGAGGAACTAGTTAGGGGTGTTTACTTCAAAGTCTGAGTGCTTCTGTCTGAGAGGTGAGGAACTAGTTAGGGGTGTTTACTTTAAAGTCTGAGTGCTTCTGTCTGAGAGGTGAGGAACTAGTTAGGGGTGTTTACTTCAAAGTCTGAGTGCTTCTGTCTGAGAGGTGAGGAACTAGTTAGGGGTGTTTACTTCAAAGTCTGAGTGCTTCTGTCTGAGAGGTGAGGAACTAGTTAGGGGTGTTTACTTCAAATAAGTGCTTCTGTCTGACTAGGGTAAGGAACTAGCAGCCTGCATATAAATAATCCACATCCGTAAAACATATGTGAATTCAAAACTCAACTTTTTAAACAATACAAAAATCGACAAGTGGATAAACAATAAGAACTTATTGTCAGAGTTCAGCTAGTGCACTTTAAGATGAAGAAAAAGAAAGAAATGTAAAAGGTATAGTGAAATAGTTCTGCCTTATCAAAAGACCTAATGCTTTTGTAAAAACCATACTTGAGGGACAAGTTAATGACACATGAGCAGGAGGTAGGCAGTGGTACAATAGGGAGAATAACAGCAGTAAATGGATATCAGGACAACTTTTGTAGTAAATTATGAGACAATATTCACATAACAAATATAAAGGGAAAATGCAAGAGAAGCAGAGAAAGTTATCTCTTGTGTTGCATTCAGTTTTAATATATTGAAATTATTGCTTTTTTTTTTGTCTTGTTAAATCTGTAGAGACAGGTGGCTGAACTGGAAGCAAAGCTACTGATGAAGGATGCCGAGAATTCTGAGCTGAGATTGAGGTTGGGCAGGAATGGAACTCTGCTCATGGATTCAGGAGGTCAGTGTTTGTGTCATCATCATCACCGTCATCATCACCTTCATCATCATCATCTTTATCATTAAGCAGGTTAACATTGCATTGTTTCAGATGGAGACGGATCGCTTATGGGAATGGCCTAAGTGCTGTGATGTTGGTTCTTGAACTCAGTTCAGCTCAACTCAGTGTACCGTTTTTTTTTTTAACTAAACTCTTTGAGTCCCAAGGGGTTTAGCATCACAAGCCCAAGGGAAGTCAAAAGAGACATGAAATCGGCGCATCATGCGTTCATTGGGCTTGTAGGTAGGAACCTATGAACGTATGATGCGTTTCTTGGGACTCAAAGAGTTAAAGGGAAATGAGGAGGAATAGTTCCTTGTGCAGTGCTAAATGTCTGTTATCATATATCATGTGTGAGTATTCAGCGCCATTACTATCATCATTCTTCTTTGCCCCCCCCCCCCCCCCCCCCCCCCCTCCCCCCACCCCCCCCCCCCCCGGGCCCCTCCTTCCCCCTGTTAGATCTGTGGACATTAGACCTGGGTTTTAACTGATGTTGCTGAATTCTAACAAGATGTTCTGAACCATTTGATCTTTTGTCTCTCAGTGTATTGGGATGCAATTTTTGTACTCACAATTAGTCTCACTGTATTATATTTCAGATGGTTAAATTGGGGATTTTTCCTTAGGTATTTCATCTAGCACGTCTTGAGTTTACATAATGTCAACTTTGAATAGTATCCAAATGTGGCTGAGTTGTTGTTGCTGCGATGTTTTGTTCCTGTTGTTGTTTTGTTGCTAAAGACTTTGTTCGAAGCATTTAATTGTGTCTGCATGTATCTTTCCTTGTCTTGTCATTCATTGAGTTCCTGGTCATTTTTTTTTTTTTAATTTTTTATTTTTTTTAGACAGATCTTTAAAATTTGCCTAAATTTTCAACATCTTGTTCTTCTGAATTTAAAATTAGCCATACTTGACATTTAGTCCTGTCATGGTTTCAAACAGGATGGTCTATGGTTGTTGTAGATCCCCCACAGCTTTTCTGGCAAAGTCTTTTCTGTCCCTAAACAAGTTATAAAAAGTGATGAATTAAAGTCTTGCTCAGATCAGATGTGTTGGACCAAAAGACACAGATATCTAGTATTTACCCACAACACAGGATGCCAACCACCCTTTGAAGTAACGTAGTCGATAGGAGGCTCGCTTTCAAATCCAGCTGCGACTCGCTGCAGCCCATGGTCGGTATTCGAAACCGGACGGTTCCCGGAGTTCACCCGGCCTCTATGTAATGGGTACCAGGGTTGACACTCTGGAGTAAATGGAGGAACGTCGCTGTAGCTACAGAGTTACGTGCAGACGGCGACACAGGTAGACAGTTTCTTATCAGCTATCCGTACTGGTGGCACAGCACTTATGGTTTATAACCGTGTGCAGTGACGCTGGTTTAAATCTCCCAACTTAACCTTTACCTATTTTTACAGAAAAAGAAAGAGAAAAGGAAGAGCATCTAGTCTTGTCACCTGAGAAATAAAACCCTCTGAGCAGTCAAAACATTAGCAAGCCAGCAGACTAACCTTAACTCTTTGAGTCCCAAGAAACGCATCATACGTTCATAGGTTCCTACCTAGAAGCCCAATAAACGCAAGATGCACTGATTTTATAACTCTATTTCTGGTAATCTGGTAATCCTAGTTTCAGCTTCATAGCTGCTCCGCTCCTGTGCCAATGAAAAACACACGTAGCTCACAGTGTCATGCCATGCACTCAGCTCAGAAGCTGGGCGACGAAACTATATCCTTCCAATCTACAAATGGAGCAAAAATGCCACCGTCTGGCAGAAAAAAAAAAAGGTGGCCGTGCCTAGCGTCCATTTTGACCTAAAGCATTATGTGAGGGTTAATCAACGGTCACCCCAGCAGTACCCTCATTATTAGCTGGGGAAGGGACTTAGGACGTAACATCCACCAGCAGGCGTCGCCCCTACAGCGACCTGCCTGCCTTCGTTAACGACTGTTCACCTAATAGCCATGCAGTTCTTTGGCACGGAGGAGACACCTTGAACTTTGGTTTTGGACTGCCGACTCCCTACAAGATTTTATTTTATGTTTTGTTATCACACTTGATGTCACTGCACATTGGGCAAACCCATGCGTGCTCAGGTCTCCGAAGCAGCAGCCACTCCAAAGTACTTCTACTAATTGTCCCCATGAGAAGCTGGTTATATCGTCTCCTTTCTCAGCCCCGAAGACGGCAAAGACGTGCATCACCATGCTTAACTCCCATGTCACGCAATCATGTTAGTGTCAGGGATTCCTCATTCTCCACTAGCATAGCCCGTACAGCGTTGACGATATCTGCTCTGTCCATACTTTTCCCCGCAATCATTAGTGCAGTGCTTGCCAGTTGGTCCGCTCGCTCATTTCCCTTTACACCGCATGACCCGGTGTGTAGATCCAGGTTACGGAGGTTAAATGCGATTTCTGAATGCTTTCTATCCATTCAGAGCGCATACTGCCTGTTGCTATCTTCTGAAGCATATTCATTGAGTCTGAGACAATTACTGCCTGTGTGGCGTTTTGCTCAGATACCCACGCTAAAGATCTAGAAGCAGCGGCTGTTTCCATTGTCATGCTTGACATGGTTGTCTGGTAAGCGCCGCTGTCCTCATGTATTGTTCTCCCCTTTCTTTGCGCTGTGTATGCCCATGCTGACCTTGATCCGCGCTTCACGGATCCATCTGTGTAGATGATGATATCTTCTTGGTCTGAATGCTGATCTATCAGTTCCTTTACTTTTGTGTCTACGGCCGCAGGAATTTGATCCCGGCAGTACCTTCCGAGTGTGATGACAACCTTAGAGATGCCATGCATGTCTACTGGTGTATTCGTCCATTCTTTTCCGTGACTGATCACGTCTAGGTCACATACCTGCTGAATTAAATCCTCAGCCTGTGCCATCCAAGAGCGGCCTCTTTGAGACGCGTTCCTTTTGTGTCGTGAATAGCTTTGTGCAGTGGGTGGTTAACGTCTGCCGATATCCTCATGTAAGCCTTGACCTGTGCACAAGCCCTTGATAGAGAAGGAAAGTAGGCGTTGTTCAATATCAGCTGCTGCTAGCACCTTGAGTGCTGTCAAACCTTTCCTGGCTCTAAGCATGACGTTGTCTACATGGCATTTGTATGACAGGCATCTGTCAAATATCATGCCCAGGTATTTCATGGTGTCCGTTCTCTCGATGTCCACACCACAGATGCTTACGACTGGCGTTGGTGTACTTACGATGTGGGTATTCAGAGAGAACCATGTTAAGGAGGCTTTGGGCGGGTTCACCTGAGCTCTTGATTACTGGCACCACTCACTAAGTCTGTCTAGTTCGTGTTGTAGTGTGGCTGTAATTTCCTGCCTGTTTTGACCTCGACGGTAAACAAGGATATCATCTGCATATGACATTGTTCTACCTAGGCCTACGCTTTGTGCACTCGTGACTCTTGCTGTGTACACATTGAAGAGCACAGGCGTCAGTGGTGATCCCTGGGGCAGACCCATTAGGACGCGTTGAGGTTCAGATGCCCATTCACCTCATCGAAGAGACACTGTTCTTTCAAATAGCGCTGCTGCGATCCAGTTAACAAATTTTGTTTCTATCTGCATATCCAACAGCAGTCTGGTTAGCATGCTGTATGGGACGCTGTTGTATGCAACTTCTAAGTCAATAGCGTCTGCAGCCGTTTCCATTCCCTCCTGGAAACCCTCATATATGTTGTAGGCAAATACTGCAGCATTGCACCATGTATCTCTTCCTGGTCGGTACCCACCTAGTGTAGCGGGGAACAGGCCACCCGACTCCAATATTTGGGTTAACGTTCTGGCAACGATTTTTTCCATGAGTTTTCCTACAGTGTTCTGGAGTGTGATGATTCTGTAGCCATTTATTCTCGTGTGGTCTTTTCCTGGGATAATGCCAGTTTTCATGGTGTTGTTAAAAATCGTAGATAGTTCATCCATATCTGTCGCCTCGAGGCTTTTGAAGTCGCTGTATCTAATGCCATCAGGCCTGGAGCTGTGTCTGAACAGGTCTTCAGTGTTGCTCTGATGCAGTCCGTTGCGATGTATACTGTATCATCGACTTCCTCCATTTCAGCCATCTGGATATCATGTAAACTCTGTCTCATCTGTTCCCTCTCTTCCCTATCTTTCTTTTCCGTCTGCAGGAGAAATCTGTGCAGGATAGCCTCGCCTTTGTCTTTATCCGATTGTAACACCACCCCGTTGTCTATCTGTAGCTCGGGCGTAACAGAGGGTTGTTTGTCTCCGTTCATCTTTTGATGGAGCCGCCAGAATGACTCTATTTACTACTCCCTGGGCCTGTGATGCTAAACCCCCTGGGACTCAAAAAGTTAATACTACCATAGCTATGATGATGGTAATGATAAACTCTAGAAATATGTACAGCCCATTGTTTGCATTGTTAAGCTAATATTTCTGTAAACTTTGTATGTGTGAACTAAGATGTTCACATTTTCTAGATTTTTCTTTTTTTTTTTAGATACAGAAGTTGAGAAATTAAAAAGAGCTGTAGATACCTTAATGCTGGCTAATGAAGAAAAGGTTTGTGTCCTTCTTTGTTTTTGTTTGTTATAGTTAATAATTTTTTGTTTCAAAACTGATGACAGCAGAATATTTAAATTATGTAAAACGTTTATGTAAATAGAGAAGGTAAGAGAACACCACATTCTCTTCCCCACAGCTCTCTTCTTCTTAGTATTTACTGGCTTCTTCATCCACTTCTGGACTGCAGTTCTGTTCCAGAACCGGAGTGTTGTGTGTGCATCCGTTTGACAGATCTAACACATTTGTATGCAGACTGTTGGTTTCTTGCCTCTCAGGCAGATGCACTCCGACTTCGAAGGAAGCTCTCAATTCGTGGACTCTTATACATGCTTTTGGGTAGGTGGTGGGTCTATTCTTGTTTTCCCTATCATAGGGCCACAGAACCCACACAGAGGATTTACTGGCTGTAAACTGAGGTGTAAATCCACTTGTTGGTCTTGTCCCATAACTTGAGTTTTGCATGGAAATCCTGTTGACAGATCTGGCTTATTTGTTTACAGACTGCTCAAGTGCATATGCGGAAGAATTATTTTCTGATTTTATAAAGAAAAGACAATTTTGTGTGTGTATGAAAGAAACTCTGATCTATGAAACAGTGACATGCTTGTAAAGGCCAGCAAGAAGCAGAAGTACTTGTCGTACTCATATTTCTGCAATTTGTCCAATAAGCACATATGTCTATACACATACTGGCGCTGTGAAAGATCAATAACATAAATTGGTATTCATGGATTCTGTGAGAGATCAATAACATAAATTGGTATTCATGGATTCTGGGAGAGATCAATAACATAAATTGGTATTCATGGATTCTGCGAGAGTCCAGTAACCTAAATGGGTGTTCATTGATTCTCTGAGGTATGAATAACATAATTGGTATTCATGGATTCTGTGAGAGATCAATAACATAAATTGGTATTCATGGATTCTGTGAGAGATCAATAACATAAATTGGTATTCATGGATTCTGTGAGAGATCAATAACATAAATTGGTATTCATGGATTCTGCGAGAGTCCAGTAACCTAAATGGGTGTTCAAAGATTCTCTGAGAGGTCAGTAACATAAATTGGTATTCATGGATTCTGTGAGAGTCCAGAAACCTAAATGGGTGTTTATTTATTATCTGAGAGATCAGTCACATAAATATGTGCTAAATGTTTATGTGAGAGATCAACAAAATAACTGGGTTTTAATTGTTTCTGTGATAGATTAGTAACATAAATTTGCATTCTTTGTTTATGTGAGAGATTGTTAAATAAATCAGTGTTCACTGTGAGAGATCAGTAAATAGAGAAATGTTCATTGTTTCTGTAAGAGATAGGTTACAAAAAAAATTGATGTTCAGTGTTTCTGTATTGGCCAGGAACGCAAACTGGAAGATATGAGGAGGTTGTTAAAGAGGTACAGGAAGGTAGAGGAGATCCTCATACAAGCTCAGGGAAGACAAGGCAAGTGTTTACTTATCTGCTGTTATTGTACTTCTTGTCCCCGTATAGGTTATGAGGCCCCTTTTTAGGGGAAAATGAATAGAGCCAATGACCCCCCCCCCCCCCCCCCCCCTTTTCCCCAGCAAGCATGTTGTCAAAGGCAACTAATTTGGGATGTTTCATCTGAAGTCAGAGCTGTCTGATTGAGTGGTGAGAAACCAGCAGTCTGCATACATGTAAGCGAAATCTGTAAAATGAAAATAAAAACAGAACTTTCCACCAAAGTTTAGATCTGGTGAACGCCAGGAAGAAGACAAAGTACTTGTTGTACTCATATTTCTGCACATTGTCCTGATAGCTTTGTTCTCCTAATGGTTTGTGGGTGTCTGTGTGTAACTGGGGCCCATAATGGAAGCTAGGAATAGCATTACTGTAACCTACCATACCTGTCATTGAAGGCAGCTCTGCAGGGTTGGGATGAGATTGGCTACCCCATCTTGTAGACTGGTGGTTCCCAAGTAGCTGGACATGCAAACATATTATATATTTGAAGTTTTGCTACGGACCCCACAATTTTCAAATAGTCTTTTTGAAAAAAAGAATTATTTGTAAATATTAGAACTGTACAAAGGATTGCATTCTGAGGTTGAGGTTTTTTGACATTGTTGTTGTTTAGATAAGTGATATCACAGCTCTTTAAAATTTGTTGTGTGGTCACCTTACGGACAAAACTTCTGAAGACAATCAGTGAATGACCAAACAGTTTTGGTGACAGCCTCAGTACTTGCTATGGATGCTCAGAGGATAGTGTGGAAGCTGTATAGGGCTGACTCATATAAGGACTGCACAACAGGTGGATGTGGGCACTCAACAAGGACATAAATGAGGATGAGACCTCATAGACAGAAGACAGACCCCAGCACCTCAGGAAGAACACCACCACCACATAGGATATAAGGAGAGAAACCCAGTCATAAATAACAGTCATCCCCAACAACACAGGAAGCACAGCCAGCAAGGAGGACATGTCAAAGGAAACCCTCATCAGGACCACAGGACAACAGAGAGGACTCTATCATGTTTAGAAATTACAACATCAAACACAGTTAGGGACACCACGCCAAAACTATTGGCACAACAAACCATCAAGCAGTGGATGGCAAACTGTTTCTTCTTCCGAGGCTTAATCTCAAAAGGGGAATATGGTGATGATGATGATGACTCATAAAATGGAATAGAGAGGCACTACTCTATGGTGGAGCTGTTTATCTGTTTCCTCCGTGCTTTAAAGGTTGTAGTTTGTTTCATCCTCTGATGGTTTGGCTGTCAAGTGTAGGTGTTTCAAAGATCTCTGAGGGTTGTTGCAGGGGTTGTGGAGTTTGTGTTTTGTGCAGTATCCTCATCAGGCAGCCAGCCACTCAGCAGACAGTACCATGCTGTGTGAAATAAATCCTGTGCAAAGAAACCAGCTGTCTCTTAACTTTAAAAGACTCTTTGAAAACAGTACTTTCCTCACAGTCAACATGATTCAGAGGTTATCATTGTGCCCGTTCTTCATTTCTGTATCCAGCTACCTCATTAAAGCTTGTGGGGAGATGTAAGGGTCTTCTGAGTGCTCTTGCTAATGTTTTGTCTAAGCTGATCTTCAATTTTGAAAGGTTTCCGGTCAGTACGATAAATAGATAGGTTTACAGTTATGTAATCATGGCTAGTTTTTACTTCTGTCAGTACTTAAATGTTGCATTTCTTCCATAGGTAGTCAGAAAGGATATAGTTCCATCGCCCATTGCCAAGTTGAGTGCATGGTGCAACACTGTGAACTTTAGATTTAATTTATAATGTTTTTTAGATGTTCCCATATGTTTTGAACTGCAGATTCAGAACTGCATTTCTGTTATCAAACTGTGTTGGCACTACTAAGGGCTGCCTCATACACTTAAGGTGTGTAAATGCTAGTGGATTTGAGACTGCAGTTTATGTCAGTTTTCTTTTTAAGCGAGGAACAGCGATGGACAGTCTCTGCAGTTTTTGTTGGCAGAGAAATGGACCAACTATGGGATGACCTGTTGGTTGTGAAGTTGAAACTCCATTTCCTGATTACCTGATCTTGATGGTTGTTTTCTGGGGCGTCTCTGTGGGGAAGTGGTCACGGCGTTTGCTTCACGCTGTAAATGTCATGGGATCAATTCATGGCTGCACTGTTCAGTTAGTAGTGAAAGAAAAGTAAAGGACCCTTTTCCATGCCTTCGTATAGGGCATATAGGGCTAGACCTATATTGTTTATATTCTTTTTCGGCACAAGATGGGTGATGTGGTCAGCATCACTCCGGCCGCCTCTACTTCCCAGAACTGCACCCTGTACCTACTCGAGGCTGAGTTGACCTGGGAGCCACCGTTCAGTTAAAAGTGCAATTTTTACTGTCACCGGAGCTACAGAGTTCATGCTGTGTGTGTGAAGCTCTCGACAGGTCGCTCTCTGTTCTGCAGAGAGAGACCAGACCAAATGGGATCAAACCCGGTGCAATCATGTTGATCCTCTCGACTTTGAATTTAAGTTTTTTTTTTCCCGATATCACTTTCAGTCTTTTCCCAAAGTCTTCTCCTTGCTCCCTTCTCTAACTTGTATTTTTCTACTTGTGATGCAGCTGTAGAAGAACTCCTCATGAATGCAGAAGAGGCAGACAGGAGCTCCAATAGTTCATCCACAACACCATCTGTGGGTGACCAGGCATGCAGGGATCTGCTGCACCATGTCAGTCTGGCATCTTGTTGTGTTGGGAAGTGTTGTGTTCTCGATGTTTAGGGGTGGCATCTCATGGGATTATGTTACTTTAGCTTTATGATTGCCATATGTCAAAATCATAATTGTGGTCATCATCATCATCTTTATTAACAGCATCATTTAGGTTGATCATACCATCAGCAGCATTATTATCAGTAAAGTGAATATACCACTATAGGAGTGTGAAGTTTTAGACATTCATATTTTCTTGGTCACAACATAATGAAATGGAATGTGAATGAGTGAGTAAAGTGGAGGGGAGGGGGAGGAATGGAGGGAAGAAGGAGAGAGAGCTCAAACGCATACTTGGGAGACAAATCGAGCCAGGTGATCATGTTGATCATGTATTATTTACACAGGAAAGCAGGGCTCTTCGACTGAATTTACTCTGGGGCCAAAATGTTAAAAACAAGGGTCATCATGGGCCAGAGACCCGAGCTCCAGCTTAGAAATATCATTAATTCATTACAGCTTGCAAGGATCCGTGGCCCACTTGCTAGCCCTCCACTAGCCTGATTTGCCCAATGGGCCACCAGTTGAATAGCCCTGTGGTAAAGGTATTTTAGGGCAAGTACAGAAATTTAAGTATCTGGGTACATGGATAACATCAGATGGAAGATGCATAACTGAGATAAGAAACAGAAAAAGACAGGCAAAAACTGCATTTTATAAAATGAAAAACATCTTGTGCAATATATTCTTGTCATTGAGAGTTAGAAAAAGTATTCTTGCTTGCTACATACATCCAGTTTTAACATATGGCTGTGAATCCTGGACAATCGGTTGGCAGGCCAAACAATTTCTAGAGGCCTCAGAGATGTGGTTTTACAGAAGAATGCTTAGAATACCTTGGACAGCCAAAAAGAGCAACCAAGAGGTTTTTGAAAGAGGCAGGAGCCCGAGGGAAAAAAGAACATGTTGTGACCACTGGAAAGATCTGTGGAAGGAGGGATAGAGGAAGACAACGAGAGAAGATACTTGACAGTCTTGTTGCATGGCATTGAGGTGTGTCGGCATATGAACTGATACATGCTGCAGGAGATCGCAGATTATGGAGAGGCATGATCGCCCGCGCCAGGCGGCAAGGCACCTGATGATGATGTGGTAAAGGTTGACCCCTTTTGAATTAACATCACTTTCTGTCTCTCATTATATTTGTACAATGACAAACATCTGTTATCCATTTCTACTATTCCCAGTTGTATCATTGCTTTATATTTTGCTTGTCTGACCTTTCGCTTCAGTTTTATTGAAAATCTTTGTTTGCACAATATTGAGAAGATTTATTTAGAAAAATATTCCCTATGTTGGTCCTGGGGCCCCTGAATGAGAGAGAGAGAGAAAAAAAGAATATATATCAACTGCTGCTGAATATGTTTGTTGAAAAAGAAACCTAAGGATTTGCTGAAATCAAATATGTTGGGCTGAAAGACATGAGACTATGAGTAGTTATGTAAAAGAAGTTTTGTCTGTTTACAGAACAGAAGGCTGTGGAATAGGTGTGGTGATACAAAACAGGAGGCTGTGGAATAGGTATGGTGATACAAAACAGGAGGCTGTGGAATAGGTGTGGTGATACAAAACACAAGGCTGTGGAATTGGTGTGGTGATACAAAACAGAAGGCTGTGGAATAGGTGTGGTGATACAAAACACAAGGCTGTGGAATAGATGTGGTGATACAAAACAGAAGGCTGTGGAATAGGTGTGGTGATACAAAACAGAAGGCTGTGGAATAGGTGTGGTGATACAAAACAGAAGGCTGTGGAATAGGTGTGGTGATACAAAACACAAGGCTGTGGAATAGATGTGGTGATACAAAACAGAAGGCTGTGGAATAGGTTTGGTGATACAAAACAGAAGGCTGTGGAATAGGTGTGGTAATACAAAACATAAGGCTGTGGAATAGGTGTGGTGATAAAAAACAAAAGGGTGTGGAATAAGTGTAGTGATACAAAACAGAAGGGTGTGGAATAGGTGTGGTAATACAAAACAGGAGGCTGTGGAATAGGTGTGGTAATACAAAACAGAAGGCTGTGGAATAGGTGTGGCGATACAAAACAGAAGGCTGTGGAATCGGTGTGGTGATACAAAACAGAAGGCTGTGGAATATGTGTGGTGATACAAAACAGAAGGCTGTGTAATAGGTGTGGTGATACAAAACATAAGGCTGTGTAATAGGTGTGGTGATACAAAACAGAAGGCTGTGGAATATGTGTGGTGATACAAAACATAAGGCTGTGTAATGGGTGTGGTGATACAAAACAGAAGGCTGTGGAATATGTGTGGTGATACAAAACATAAGGCTGTGGAATGGGTGTGGTGATACAAAACAGAAGGCTGTGAAAAAGTTATGGAAATACAAAACAGAAGGGTGTGGCATAGGTGTGGTGATACAAAACAGGAGGCTGTGGAATAGATGTGGTAATACAAAACAGAAGGCTGTGGAATAGGTATGGTGATACAAAACAGGAGGCTGTGGAATAGGTGTGGTGATACAAAACACAAGGCTGTGGAATTGGTGTGGTGATACAAAACAGAAGGCTGTGGAATAGGTGTGGTGATACAAAACACAAGGCTGTGGAATAGATGTGGTGATACAAAACAGAAGGCTGTGGAATAGGTGTGGTGATACAAAACAGAAGGCTGTGGAATAGGTGTGGTGATACAAAACAGAAGGCTGTGGAATAGGTGTGGTGATACAAAACACAAGGCTGTGGAATAGATGTGGTGATACAAAACAGAAGGCTGTGGAATAGGTGTGGTGATACAAAACAGAAGGCTGTGGAATAGGTGTGGTAATACAAAACATAAGGCTGTGGAATAGGTGTGGTGATAAAAAACAAAGGGTGTGGAATAAGTGTAGTGATACAAAACAGAAGGGTGTGGAATAGGTGTGGTAATACAAAACAGGAGGCTGTGAATAGGTGTGGTAATACAAAACAGAAGGCTGTGGAATAGGTGTGGCGATACAAAACAGAAGGCTGTGGAATCGGTGTGGTGATACAAAACAGAAGGCTGTGGAATATGTGTGGTGATACAAAACAGAAGGCTGTGTAATAGGTGTGGTGATACAAAACATAAGGCTGTGTAATAGGTGTGGTGATACAAAACAGAAGGCTGTGGAATATGTGTGGTGATACAAAACATAAGGCTGTGTAATGGGTGTGGTGATACAAAACAGAAGGCTGTGGAATATGTGTGGTGATACAAAACATAAGGCTGTGGAATGGGTGTGGTGATACAAAACAGAAGGCTGTGAAAAAGTTATGGAAATACAAAACAGAAGGGTGTGGCATAGGTGTGGTGATACAAAACAGGAGGCTGTGGAATAGATGTGGTAATACAAAACAGAAGGCTGTGGAATAGGTGTGGTGATACAAAACAGAAGGCTATGGAATAGGTGTGGTGATACAAAACAGAAGGCTGTGGAATAGGTGTGGTGATACAAAACAGAAGGCTGTGGAATAGGTGTGGTGATACAAAACATAAGGCTGTGGAATAGGTGTGGTGATAAAAAACAAAAGGGTGTGGAATAGGTGTGGTGATAAAAAACAAAAGGGTGTGGAATAAATGTAGTGATACAAAACAGAAGGGTGTGGAATAGGTGTGGTAATACAAAACAGGAGGCTGTGGAATAGGTGTGGTAATACAAAACAGAAGGCTGTGGAATAGGTGTGGCGATACAAAACAGAAGGCTGTGGAATAGGTGTGGTGATACAAAACAGAAGGCTGTGGAATATGTGTGGCGATACAAAACAGAAGGCTGTGTAATAGGTGTGGTAATACAAAACATAAGGCTGTGTAATAGGTGTGGTGATACAAAACAGAAGGCTGTGGAATATGTGTGGTGATACAAAACATAAGGCTGTGTAATAGGTGTGGTGATACAAAACAGAAGGCTGTGGAATATGTGTGGTGATACAAAACATAAGGCTGTGGAATGGGTGTGGTGATACAAAACAGAAGGCTGTGAAATAGGTATGGAAATACAAAACAGAAGGGTGTGGCATAGGTGTGGTGATACAAAACAGGAGGCTGTGGAATAGGTGTAGTGATACAAAACAGAAGGCTGTGGAATAGTGGTGATACAAAAGAGGAGGCTGTGGAATAGGTGTGGTGATACAAAACATAAGGCTGTGGAATGGGTGTGGTGATACAAAACAGAAGGCTGTGGAAAAGGTATGGTGATACAAAACAGAAGGGTGTGGAATAGGTGTGGCGATACAAAACAGAAGGGTGTGGAATAGTGGTGATACAAAACAGGAGGCTGTGGAATAGGTGTGGTGATACAAAACAGGAGGCTGTGGAATAGATGTGGTGATACAAAACAGAAGGCTATGAAATAGTAGTGATACAAAACAGGAGGCTGTGGAATAGGTGTGGTGATACAAAACATAAGGCTGTGGAAAAGGTTTGGTGATACAAAACAGAAGGGTGTGGAATAGGTGTGGTGATACAAAACATAAGGCTGTGGAAAAGGTTTGGTGATACAAAACAGAAGGCTGTGGAATAGGTGTGGTGATAAAAAACAAAAGGGTGTGGAATAGGTGTGGTGATAAAAAACAAAAGGGTGTGGAATAAATGTAGTGATACAAAACAGAAGGGTGTGGAATAGGTGTGGTAATACAAAACAGGAGGCTGTGGAATAGGTGTGGTAATACAAAACAGAAGGCTGTGGAATAGGTGTGGCGATACAAAACAGAAGGCTGTGGAATAGGTGTGGTGATACAAAACAGAAGGCTGTGGAATATGTGTGGTGATACAAAATAGAAGGCTGTGTAATAGGTGTGGTAATACAAAACATAAGGCTGTGTAATAGGTGTGGTGATACAAAACAGAAGGCTGTGGAATATGTGTGGTGATACAAAACATAAGGCTGTGTAATAGGTGTGGTGATACAAAACAGAAGGCTGTGGAATATGTGTGGTGATACAAAACATAAGGCTGTGGAATGGGTGTGGTGATACAAAACAGAAGGCTGTGAAATAGGTATGGAAATACAAAACAGAAGGGTGTGGCATAGGTGTGGTGATACAAAACAGGAGGCTGTGGAATAGGTGTAGTGATACAAAACAGAAGGGTGTGGAATAGTGGTGATACAAAAGAGGAGGCTGTGGAATAGGTGTGGTGATACAAAACATAAGGCTGTGGAATGGGTGTGGTGATACAAAACAGAAGGCTGTGGAAAAGGTATGGTGATACAAAACAGAAGGGTGTGGAATAGGTGTGGCGATACAAAACAGAAGGGTGTGGAATAGTGGTGATACAAAACAGGAGGCTGTGGAATAGGTGTGGTGATACAAAACAGGAGGCTGTGGAATAGATGTGGTGATACAAAACAGAAGGCTGTGAAATAGTAGTGATACAAAACAGGAGGCTGTGGAATAGGTGTGGTGATACAAAACATAAGGCTGTGGAAAAGGTTTGGTGATACAAAACAGAAGGGTGTGGAATAGGTGTGGTGATACAAAACATAAGGCTGTGGAAAAGGTTTGGTGATACAGAACAGAAGGGTGTGGAATAGGTGTGGCGATACAAAACAGAAGGGTGTGGAATAGGTGTGGTGATCAGTGGCACATAGATTGCAAGAAGAACAATTCTGAATCAGTTAGTTATATTTTGTTACAATCAATTATATTTACTAGAAAGGAGCACATTATGCCTTGGACTTATTATATTAAGAGAAGGGTATCTTTATAGTTTACAGAAATATCTGATTGACATTGTTTTCTAACTGATGATATTTTCTCTGATGATGTCAGCACTCTGATGAGAGGCCTGATGGCAGGCACTACCTGTCGTCTCCCACAAGCCCCAGCACCCGAAGTTAGTATTACTGTCTACCTCTTATTTTATTGTGGTGTGAAATTCATTTGTTCCTATGTAGTTTTTGCACTGTGATACTCCTGTGTGTTCCATTGCAGCTTTTAAAGTATATATTGCTGTTCTGCTGCAGTTCTTTCTCTCTGATATCTCTCACTTACTTTCTGTGCCTAGTGTTTATTTAGTGCCAGTTACATACAGTAGTTTATTTTGTGTTTGTGCTAAGATATAAGGTGGAAGGTTGAGAGTATTAACTTCGTTGCACTGAGTTTCACCCCAGATGGCTCAGCCTCTCTACACAGAATTGTTAGGCTCCTGCTGGGAGCAGAGAGCAGCACACAAGGCATCAGCTCTGTAGTTCCAGTGACAATCCCCAGGGATCACTGTAGAAATGTTACTCGTCAACACAAACAGTGAGAGTTTATTTTGGGTGTGAATTCTATCCCCACATATGTGAGCCAGTCTTGTTTTGCTGGTTTTTTTTTTTTTTTGGGGGGGGGGGGGGGGGGGGGGTGCGCATTGTGTTGTTGAGATACTGATAATAAATTTATATAATTAATTTTAAACATAAAATTAGGGCAGCAGAAAGAAAAGAGACAGTGGTCTGGTAGCTTGACTCTGATAGTTGCCAGAAGCAGAATTACACACAGAAGACATAAATAAATAATATACATATTTATTCACCTGAAAAGGGCAATTTAATAAATACTTGTAAAATTCATAGCAGCATAAATTCAGTGAATTTCGAAGCCAGTAATTGAAAGTAACAAGGTGTATCAAATTATTAAAATCATTGAGGTGTGTCTGGATGTTTGCTATCATGTTGTTTACGCCAGTGTTGCACTGAATCAGGCACAATTGTTTTGCTGCCGCTGATCAAACATAGAAACACAGCAGCAACAAAATATACAGCACTTTAATTGTTCTACCCAGTGTCATAGAACTGACAATTGTCCAGCTAATGCAACATCTGCTGGTGCTTACAGGTTAGAATATCTAATACTTGTGGCTGGAGCATCGTTTCTGATAGACAGAGCACTACAGTAATGTCTATTCTATTTCTCTGTTTAGTTTTTATTACTGACATGACTTTAAGAGTCTTTTCACACAGATGGGAACTTTAAAAACACAAAACTAACAAGTCTGATAGCTGTCAACAATCTGATAGCTGTCAACAATCTGATAGCTGTCAACAATCTGATAGCTGTCAACAATCTGATAGCTCTCAACAATCTGATGGCTCTCAACAATCTGATGGCTCTCAACAATCTGATAGCTCTCAACAATCTGATGGCTCTCAACAATCTGATAGCTCTCAACAATCTGATGGCTCTCAACAATCTGATAGCTCTCAACAATCTGATAGCTCTCAGCTCTCAACAATCTGATAGCTCTCAACAATCTGATGGCTCTCAACAATCTGATAGCTCTCAACAATCTGATAGCTCTCAACAATCTGATAGCTCTCAACAATCTGATAGCTCTCAACAGTCTGATAGCTCTCAACAATCTGATGGCTCTCAACAATCTGATGGCTCTCAACAATCTGATAGCTCTCAACAATCTGATAGCTCTCAACAATCTGATGGCTCTCAACAATCTGATGGCTCTCAACAATCTGATGGCTCTCAACAATCTGATGGCTCTCAACAATCTGATGGCTCTCAACAATCTGATGGCTCTCAACAATCTGATGGCTCTCAACAATCTGATGGCTCTCAACAATCTGATAGCTCTCAACAATCTGATAGCTCTCAACAATCTGATGGCTCTCAACAATCTGATAGCTCTCAACAATCTGATGGCTCTCAACAATCTGATAGCTCTCAACAATCTGATGGCTCTCAACAATCTGATAGCTCTCAACAATCTGATAGCTCTCAACAATCTGATGGCTCTCAACAATCTGATGGCTCTCAACAATTTGATAGCTCTCAACAATCTGATGGCTCTCAACAATCTGATGGCTCTCAACAATCTGATGGCTCTCAACAATCTGATGGCTCTCAACAATCTGATGGCTCTCAACAATCTGATAGCTCTCAACAATCTGATAGCTCTCAACAATCTGATGGCTCTCAACAATCTGATGGCTCTCAACAATCTGATGGCTCTCAACAATCTGATGGCTCTCAACAATCTGATGGCTCTCAACAATCTGATAGCTCTCAACAATCTGATGGCTTTCAACAATCTGATGGCTCTCAACAATCTGATGGCTCTCAACAATCTGATGGCACTCAACAATCTGATGGCTCTCAACAATCTGATGGCTCTCAACAGTCTGATAGCTCTCAACAATCTGATAGCTCTCAACAGTCTGATAGCTCTCAACAATCTGATGGCTCTCAACAGTCTGATAGCTCTCAACAATCTGATGGCTCTCAACAATCTGATGGCTCTCAACAATCTGATAGCTCTCAACAATCTGATAGCGCTCAACAATCTGATGGCTCTCAACAATCTGATGGCTCTCAACAGTCTGATCGCTCTCAACAATCTGATAGCTCTCAACAATCTGATAGCTCTCAACAGTCTGATAGCTCTCAACAGTCTGATAGCTCTCAACAGTCTGATAGCTCTCAACAATCTGATAGCTCTCAACAATCTGATAGCTCTCAACAGTCTGATAGCTCTCAACAGTCTGATAGCTCTCAACAATCTGATAGCTCTCAACAATCTGATGGCTCTCAACAATCTGATAGCTCTCAACAATCTGATGGCTCTCAACAATCTGATGGGTCTCAACAATCTGATGGCTCTCAACAGTCTGATAGCTCTCAACAATCTGATAGCTCTCAACAGTCTGATAGCTCTCAACAATCTGATAGCTCTCAACAGTCTGATAGCTCTCAACAATCTGATGGCTCTCAACAATCTGATGGCTCTCAACAATCTGATGGCTCTCAACAATCTGATGGCTCTCAACAATCTGATGGCTCTTAACAATCTGATGGCTCTCAACAATCTGATGGCTCTCAACAATCTGATGGCTCTCAACAATCTGATGGCTCTCAACAATCTGATGGCTCTCAACAATCTGATGGCTCTCAACAATCTGATAGCTCTCAACAATCTGATGGCTCTCAACAATCTGATGGCTCTCAACAATCTGATAGCTCTCAACAATCTGATAGCTCTCAACAATCTGATAGCTCTCAACAATCTGATAGCTCTCAACAATCTGATGGCTCTCAACAATCTGATAGCTCTCAACAATCTGATGTCTCTCAACAATCTGATGGCTCTCAACAATCTGATAGCTCTCAACAATCTGATGGCTCTCAACAATCTGATGGCTCTCAACAGTCTGATGGCTCTCAACAATCTGATAGCTCTCAACAATCTGATAGCTCTCAACAATCTGATAGCTCTCAACAATCTGATAGCTTTCAACAGTCTGATAGCTCTCAACAATCTGATAGCTCTCAACAATCTGATAGCTCTCAACAGTCTGATAGCTCTCAACAGTCTGATAGCTCCCAGCAATATGATAGCTCTCAAAAATCTGAAAGCTCCCAATAATTTGATAGCTCTATAAATCCGGTTCTGCAGGAGGTGGATGCAACAGGATGCAGGGTATCTGACACACACTTTAGGTACAATGTCTAGTCTGGTACTATACCCAAAAAAAAAAAAAAGCATTGTCATGCAAGCTGCAATGTAATGTGAGCTGTAAACCACAGAAACAGTTACAGCCTCATGCATGACCCAGTTCAGGTTGATGAATATGGGGATGCAGCGCTTTAAGTGCACAAGATGTCTAATTAATCAATATAGAATCGTTGTGTGTGTGGTCAGTCTTGTTATGCTTGTGTAGCTGTTGAGAAAGAGATCAGGGTAGCTATGTAATTGTGTATAGTGCTCTGATGTAAGTCTTGACTAATCACTGATTCTCTCTGTGACTTCCTCTTTCTTACTCTATAAATCTTTCCATGTGTTTGTATTCTAGTACAGTATTTTAACTCAGCCACTGTAGCTTTATGGCTGGATGCTCACATGCTGACCCGAAGTTCTTGTGTTCAGATCCGCATTTTAGGAGATTTTTTTTCTTCTTTCAAAAATGACTTTGAATCCCTGGTCGGCCCACCCTAAAATGAGTACCATTAAAGTCCTGGAAGGTAAAGGCAGTCAGTATGATGTTGACCACATCATACTATTTATAAAGCTTCAAAGCTAAAATCTCATGCCCGATGTGCCACTGTGCTTTACCTACTTACAAGATTTTAATACTGTTCTTTGTTGTTAACAGCACATCCAATGAGCAACACTCTCAATGGAGGTACAGCAGTGTCCTCTATACCTGCAAACTCCAGGCAAGCAATGGGCATGACCAGGTCTAATAGTTGTGAGAATATGGCTCCAGGAAGCAAGTGCAAGGTGAGATCTCATCTCAGCCTCTATGTCCAACCACCATCTGACATGATGTCTAATGTGTTCTCATCTCAGCCTCTATGTTCCACTCACCATCTGACATGATATCTAATGTGTTCTCATCTCAGCCTCTATGTCCAACCACCATCTGACATGATGTCTAATGTGTTCTCATCTCAGCCTCTATGTTCCACTCACCATCTGACATGATATCTAATGTGTTCTCATCTCAGCCTCTATGTCCAACCACCATCTGACATGATGTCTAATGTGTTCTCATCTCAGCCTCTATGTTCCACTCACCATCTGACATGATATCTAATGTGTTCTCCTCTCAGCCTCTATGTTCCACTCACCATCTGACATGATGTCTAATGTGTTCTCATCTCAGCCTCTATGTTCCACTCACCATCTGACATGATGTGTAATGAGTTCTCATCTCAGCCTCTATGTTCCACTCACCATCTGACATAATGTGTAATGTGTTCTCATCTCAGCCTCTATGTTTCACTCACCATCTGACATGATATCTAATGTGTTCTCATCTCAGCCTCTATGTTTCACTCACCATCTGACATGATATCTAATGTGTTCTCATCTCAGCCTCTATGTTTCACTCACCATCTGACATGATATCTAATGTGTTCTCATCTCAGCCTCTATGTTCCACTCACCATCTGACATGATATCTAATGTGTTCTCATCTCAGCCTCTATGTTTCACTCACCATCTGACATGATATCTAATGTGTTCTCATCTCAGCCTCTATGTTTCACTCACCATCTGACATGATATCTAATGTGTTCTCATCTCAGCCTCTATGTTCCACTCACCATCTGACATGATGTCTAATGTGTTCTCATCTCAGCCTCTATGTTCCACTCACCATCTGACATGATGTCTAATGAGTTCTCATCTCAGCCTCTATGTTCCACTCACCATCTGACATGATATCTAATGTGTTCTCATCTCAGCCTCTATGTTCCACTCACCATCTGACATGATATCTAATGTGTTCTCATCTCAGCCTCTATGTTTCACTCACCATCTGACATGATATCTAATGTGTTCTCATCTCAGCCTCTATGTTCCACTCACCATCTGACATGATATCTAATGTGTTCTCATCTCAGCCTCTATGTTCCACTCACCATCTGACATGATGTCTAATGTGTTCTCATCTCAGCCTCTATGTTCCACTCACCATCTGACATGATGTGTAATGAGTTCTCATCTCAGCCTCTATGTTCCACTCACCATCTGACATGATATGTAATGAGTTCTCATCTCAGCCTCTATGTTCCACTCACCATCTGACATGATATCTAATGTGTTCTCATCTCAGCCTCTATGTTCCACTCACCATCTGACATGATATCTAATGTGTTCTCATCTCAGCCTCTATGTTCCACTCATGATCTGACATGATATCTAATGTGTTCTCATCTCAGCCTCTGTGATCCACTCACGATCTGACTTGATATCTAATGTGTTCTCATCTCAGCCTCTATGTTCCACTCATGATCTGACATGATATCTAATGTGTTCTCATCTCAGCCTCTATGTTCCACTCACCATCTGACATGATATCTAATGTGTTCTCATCTCAGCCTCTGTGATCCACTCACGATCTGACTTTATGTCTAATGTGTTCTCATCTCAGCCTCTATGTTCCACTCATGATCTGACATGATATCTAATGTGTTCTCATCTCAGCCTCTGTGATCCACTGACGATCTGACATGAAATCTAATAATACTAATATCCATGGCCTTATCATTTCTATAGTGTATGACTATGTTAGAATGACTGTATGTTAGTGTGAATGAATGCTACTTTGACTGAATGCTAGTATCATAGTTTTCTAGAAGGATTGCATGAAACAATGGTTGTGTTCTAGTACCACTGTATGGTGGTGTGTATCATTGTATAATTGAATATTATCATGGTTGTAGTCTGGTATCATTGAATAAGTGAATACTAATATTATACACTAATTTTATATTATCATACACTAGTATCATTGTATGATTGAATACTACTGTAGTATTATTGTATGATTGAATGCTAGTGTTATTACATACAAGTATCATTGTAATAAATAAATGCAAACATTATCATACACTAGTATCATTGTATGATTGGATGCAAGCATTATCATACACTAGTATCATTGAAAGCTGATGTCATTGTTTAATTAAATGCTAGTGTTATCATAAGTGCTTTCTCAATATCCTACCCCAAACAGGGGAAATCCACAGGTCACGGGACAGTCTACTATTTCAGGGGGTGGTAGATAGGCTGCTTGCAGTTGTGGGACCTAGACTGCATGCATTCGTGGGACCTAGGCTGCACTCTCTCATGGGACATAGTTGGGTTGGGGGTAGGGCCAGTTCTAGATGTTTTGGGGTCGTTAAAAGCATCAGAAAGCTGGGAAACCAAGTCTTATCACCCTCTAAAATGTTGGACTGTCCTGTGATGTCATCTGGGGTAGGATATTATGAAAATACTATATCATACACTAGTGTCATTGAAAGCTAGTATTGTCACACACTAGTATCATTGTATGATTAAATGCTTGTAGAAGGTATTGTACAGGATAGAATGGAATGGAGGAACAGCCTGCGAGCCCTATGTGACACACAATGGCACAGCAGGACAGGGATGAATAATGAAATACCTGAGTCCTAGGATCTGGTACCTGCAGTATGAGGCAAACATTTTTGTTAATTCTCTCCTGAATAACTTATTGTCTAAAATAATAATTGTGTAGGTCTAAAATGGTTCAAATAATAGCACTGTGGGAAAAAACATGTTAACGTTTTTTTGGGGTATTACAACTGGAAAAATTGAATGTAATTGATATTCTCCCCAATAAACAATGTGTAATTTGTTCTGTTTTGTATGTAAGATTGTTTTGTGAATTGTTTTCAGACTTCATCGTTCAGAAAGAAAGGTGGGAAACCCACAGACGGACCAGGCAGGGCAGTTGGTAGTTATGGTACGTTACCCAAACATCGTGTTAGAGAAGATGCTACTGAGGCAAAAAGAGCCCGTGGGTTTCATGGCCTGGGGAAAACACTGCTGCGCATTAGGTCAGGAAAACGCAGCAGCTCTGCACCAAATCTAGGTGACCAATTGTTGGCCAGTATTTACTGTTGCATGGCCTGGCATGGCCTGGCATGGCCTCCTCTTTGTAATCACTCCAGGCTACCTTTTGTTTTTGCTAGCATGTCCAATTGATTTATATATATTCTTTATTCCAGACCATATTGTTTGTTTTATTCTCTATATCTAACAAAAGCGGAATCTTCATATTTATAAAAACTATTACATTCTCTGTACTTTTATATAATGCTCTCTTTTGTAAACAAAATAAAATTTATATATATCTGCATGGTTTGGTTAGTAGAAAAAGTAACTTTGTCACAGATAGTGTTAGGCTCGATTATGAAAATTTCTAAAGACGTGATAAGTAAGGCATTATGAGAATGATATGTCCAGGAAATAAACTACATGTTTATTAGATGTTATATTTATGTCATGCTTTTTCTGCACACATAGATTTAATTTCTTTGGCTTATATAGGGTGTTTGTAAAATCTCACTACACTTTGTATGCAGAACAAATTTGAAAAACCTAAGTACCTGATATCATTAAAAATTGGCTAAAAAGTTATTAAATAAGTTACAATAGTCTCTGCTATGGTCTAACTCTGTTTTGGGGAAGCTGGAAAGTACTAATGGAATAATCATTATAACAGATGTTGCAATTATCCACCACAGGCTTCAAGACATGATTACACACGTCTCTTCGTATTGTCAAATACTTTCTGCAACTTGTCGGTTATTATTTCGTGAATGGTAATTCTGTTTGCTTCTCTTGCTAACACCTTTCTGTTTTGAGTGCAAAGAATTACTCTAGCAGATGACAGCCATTCACTGCATATTGCTTAGTCACAGACTGCAATCTCAGTAATTCCAGTAGCATAAACATGCATTAAATGCATAAGACAACTATTAGAAGTGTCAAAACCAACAGTCTGACACTAGAAATGTAGTTTATCATCGAGTCACAATATCAGTATTTGCACAAACGATTTATCACATAAGGCACCACCAGCTCTGTGACAACACTCCCCATTTTTTTAAAAATCTAGAATTCACAGCACAAACCACTTTAGGCATAGTTGAAAAGCATTTCCAATGAAATCCATAGCTCACAGTGTCATGCCATGCACTTGGCTCAGTAGCTAGGCAATGATATTTCCTGTCAGTCTGCATATGGAAGTGAATCAAATGGTCAGCTATTGCCAAAAGCAAAAACTTGCCATGAATAAAATGAACAGTAAATATGCTTATCCCTCATATTGACAGAAGTTAATCAAGATTAAAATCAGATACAGTCTTCATCCCCGAGTCCCATGTAATCTCCACCTCTGTGTCCCGATATAATCAAGTAATAAAAATGTGGCCCCTAAAGGTGGTTCTGTGACTAACCTGCCTACATGACCTGTCTGTTACTGTTTAGTAATAAAAATAGGAACCTTATAGGTGGTTCTGTGACTAACCTGCCTACATGACCTGTCTCTTACTGTTTAGTAATAAAAATGGGAACCTTATAGGTGGTTCTGTGACTAACCTGCCTACATGACCTGTCTCTTACTGTTTAGTAATAAAAATGTGGCCCCTAAAGGTGGTTCTGTGACTAACCTGCCTACATGACCTGTCTCTTACTGTATAGTAATAAAAATAGGAACCTTATAGGTGGTTCTGTGACTAACCTGCCTACATGACCTGTCTCTTACTGTTTAGTAATAAAAATGGGAACCTTAGGGGCGGTCCTGTAACAGATTTTGACAGTGTGAACAGTAACAAAGTAGAGGACTATTTTTCCATGTCATCAGGTGTGTTGGGTATATAGGGCTAGTCCTATATTTTATAGACCAGTCAGCACTCAGTGGGTGATGAGGTCAACAGCACACCGGTCACCTTCACTTCTCAGAACTTTACCTGGTACCCACTCAAAGCTGGGTCGACCTAGGAGTCATTTTTGAAAAAGTTCTATCAGAATCTGAACCCCAGGACGTTCAGATCTGCAGGCGAGCATCTAGCCGCTACATCATGGCAGCTCCTACCTAGAGCAGTAATCTAATAGAATATGCAAGGATGACATGAGAACATCCATGACTTTTTAGCATTAAAAACTGTTAAAAACAGCAAGCTGGGCGAACATGTTAGATGCTGACTAATGTTCTGGCTCCAGAAGTCAGTTAACTCTTTGAGTCCCAAGGAACGCACCTTACGTTGTAGGTTCCTACCTAGATGTCCAATGAATGCATGATGCGCCGATTTTATTACTTTCTTTACTACCCCCTGGGCCTGTGATGCTAAATCCGCTGGGACTTGAAGAGTTAAGGGATACACTGCATGGCTTGATCGTCTGAATTATTGACAGCATGAATAATCTGTACCCTAATTTCACCCATAAACCGACCAAGCAGCCAGATTCCATTCCACTTTAACATTAATTTGTTTTTCTTGTCATTGAACTCCAGTGTTGCATGTTTGATAACAGCATTGAAATATTATGTATTTAACCAACTTGTAGGAGCTGTAATGTGAAACTAAATAATGTGTACAATTTTCCCATATTGTATGTTTGATAACAGCATTGAATTATTCTGTATTTAACCAACTTGTAGGAGCTGTAATGTGAAACTAAATAATGTGTACAGTTTTCCCATATTGTATGTTTGATAATATCATTGAATTATTACGTATTTAACCAACTTGTAGGAGCTGTAATGTGAAACTAAATAATGTGTACAGTTTTCCCATATTGTATGTTTGATAATATCATTGAATTATTACGTATTTAACCAACTTGTAGGAGCTGTAATGTGAAACTAAATAATGTGTACAATTTTTCCATGTTGTATGTTTGATAACATCATTGAATTATTACGTATTTAACCAACTTGTAGGAGCTGTAATGTGAAACTAAATAATGTGTACAATTTTTCCATGTTGTATGTTTGATCATGGTAATGATCATTAATTTCTGCTTTCGCTATTAAGCGTCATGGGAAGAAACAGTTTGTGATCCATTGCTTGATAGATAGCTATGGCTAACATCATTGCATGTTGACATACAATGTCTTTAATGTTATCATTCCATCATCTTGGGCACTCTCTTGCCTTCACATCAGATCCTATTGGGCACTCTCTTGCCTTCACATCAGATCTTATTGGGCATTCTCTTGCCTTCACATCAGATCTTATTGGGCACACTCTTGCCTTCACATCATATCTTATTGGGCATTCTCTTGCCTTCACATCAGATCTTATTGGGCACTCTCTGGCTTTCACATCAGATCTTTTTGGGCACTCTCTGGCTTTCACATCAGATCTTATTGGGCATTCTCTTGCCTTCACATCAGATCTTATTGGGCACACTCTTGCCTTCACATCATATCTTATTGGGCATTCTCTTGCCTTCACATCAGATCTTATTGGGCACTCTCTGGCTTTCACATCAGATCTTTTTGGGCACTCTCTGGCTTTCACATCAGATCTTTTTGGGCACTCTCTGGCTTTCACATCAGATCTTTTTGGGCACTCTCTGGCTTTCACATCAGATCTTTTTGGGCACTCTCTTGCTTTCACATCAGATCTTATTGGGCACTCTCTTGCTTTCACATCAGATCTTTTTAGGCGCTGCTCTTGTGATGGTGGCAGATGTGGCTGCATTCTAGCCAGATGATCTTCTGCTTCACTTCTCAGTGAATTTGGTACAAACTGTTGTTTGCATAGCTTGTCTGATAGTATTGGTTCTTTTTTTTTACTTTGTCTTAGATAGGCATGTTGATAGCTTTCCTTAGGCATCTAATTTTATGGTTGTTAGTTTCACATAACCATGGAAATGAGGTGTCTGAGAAAGGCTGTAGGAGTGACCAGAAGAGATAAAATCAGGAATGAGGTTGCCCACTTGGAAAGAATGCCTTCTGTTGCTATACCAAAAGAGGAGAGGGATGTAGAGCAAGAGGTAGACCAAGAACAAGATGGAAGGATAACATCAGAGAAACTCTACAGTACCACGATGTGTCTTTGGTTAAATCAGCCAGAAAAGCACGAAGCAGGACTTTTATATCTCCCTCGACACCCAAAGCGGTAAAATAGGACGCAAAAAAGAAGAAGAAGTGTTACATAGGGTAGCCTTTGATAATGTCACATTTTGGTACTAAAAGCACAGTGCTGGCCTCTTCTTTTTCTTCTGCTTTGCATTCATTGGCTGTAAACTCTAGCAAAAACCTCTACTCATTGTTTCTCTATTTCTGGACTTTAGGCTTGTTCCAGAACTTGAGTTTTGCCTGCACATCCATTTTACAGGCCTGGATTATATGTATGCAGACTGTTGGTTCCAGATGCTTTCTCATTTAGAAGGAAACACCCCTAATTAGTCTTCTTTTATGACATACTTCTTAAAGAGGCAATATTGGTTCCCCCCCACCCCAAGTCACAATTGGGGTACACATGAAAGTTTGGGTATGAATAATATGCTTCATAATCTTTTCCTTGGCTGTATAACTGTATTTAGATGTCTTAATAATGATATTAATTGGTATATAAATGAATATAATTCCCAGTCTATTCAGTCATCCTCTGTAAATATACTTCCTAAGTATTTAAATTCTTCAACTTGTATGTTTGATGATGTGATTGATTAATACATTTACACAGCTTAAAGGAGCTGAAAAGTGAAGCTGTTATTTATGTAACTTACATATGTTGAAAAGTGGAAAAACAGTAGCCAGGTACAATTTAACCCTTTTGTCACGTAAATGCTAAAAAGGGGTTCATGAACTGATAGGAATTTCTGAAAAAAATTGTTTAAAAACTATTTCACACAGATAATTAATACAATTTTTTAATAAAATTGATTTATTTACCTTTAAAAAAGTTATCCTGCTGAAATAAATAAAGGTGTATAAAGGGAGTTGTCAGTAAATAAGGAGAAGGTGAAGTATTATATCAAATATATTCCCCAGGGCCTAAGACTAACATGTGTCGGGTGACTCTTGCTGTGACCTCTATCACTTAGGCTTACGGGAAGATGTTTAATCAACCT